GGATACAACCCGGTGAAGTCTCTGAAGGAGGTCATTGATCGTGCTCGTCGTATCGAGGAGTCGGAACCAGTAAATGACCAGTGCTGTTTCGGCAACTCACTCCATACCGTCCGCATCCACTCGTCCCATTGCTGTGTTCTAGTCCCGGCCCAAAAAAACTGTCACTGTCAAGCTGGTGAAGCAACGTCCGTCGACCCAGCGCCGTGGAGCGTCCGCTGCCCGTGGTCGAGCCAGTGGAAGTGGTGGACATCATCGTGCGTCCTTTGAACCGTGTACTCACACGACCTGTCGTTCCCACGCCACCGACCCCATCGAGCTTGTTGGTCCTCCCTGGGGGGAGTGGGCGGTTCGAAGTCGAGGACGGACTCCACGTCGCCCGCGTCCTCCTCGGCTTGAGAAGGAGCCGCCGCTTGTTCTCTTTCTTCCTTGTCATAGCGAGCACAATGAAGGTCCACCACTCAACCAAGAACTCGAGAATCACACGCACTGCGCTGACGCCAACTATGAGACGGATGTCTCCAGGTTCGCGAGTGGCTGAGTTCCCTTCGGGATGTATGTGTGGTGTGGATACACACTGGTTCAACCTCTTATGGGAGAGGCTGAAGAGGTACGGATTGTGATGTGAGTCAGGGGGGAGCGAGCCCGCTGCAGCAGGGTTCAGCGTCCACCATACACTGACTCTACCTGTGGCAACATCCCGACGGTAGATCTCTGACAGGTCATCTGACGTCACAATCTACGACAGTCTGAGGTGACATTCACAAATAGAAGCATCCCGATAAGCAACAGGATTGACCGATAGATACCCCAAGACATTAAAAGCAGATGGTAGCAGGGGGAGCGAATAGCACGGATGGAGCCGCGGCCGTTGGGGCGTGGGTACTGCTATACTGTACGGCAGAATGTTGTGTGGGAGGAGTCATTTAGTCAGTTTTTATACTCCGGAGAAAATGTTACCCACACGGGAGATATCGCTGTGTGCTGCTCGGGAAATCGTGGAAAATACAGAACCTTCGCTGCAGTTATGGATTCATTGCTAATCTATCTTAAGACTCTTTTCTATAGGTAGAGATGGATTCGTTGGGTTATCGTCTAGTCTACATACCTAAATAAATGATGACGCTATGTTTTTGTACTTAGCACCAGCTGGCATCACTGGTATAAATCATCAGTGTATAGACTTAAAAAGACTCGAAAAGTCCAGTACCCAGCCGGTTTCCCTCCACTCACTGAAAAGACTCCACCACATCCCGTTCGACTGTGGGTATATCTCGAATGGGTAGTCTTTCTGTGTGTGATTTTATTATTCCTTAATTCATTGCTAATCTGTCTCAGACTCATGATAGAGATGGATTCGTTGTGTCATATTAAGAAAAAAAAAAAAAAAGTGGGACTGCGCGCCCCCAGTTCGCCAAAATCACACATCTGGGCTTGCAAAGCGCGTGCACTGTCCCTGGTCCAGCACCCCACACCCCCTAAGTCGCCTTTGCTCTTGTCAGGAAGGTTCTTGTTGTTTCTTGTCCTCAACGAGTTTGCCTGCTTCGCCGAAAGGAAGCGGGTGTAAATCTCAAGCTGTGACGGCCGCCGTCTACTGACCGCCTGACTTCAACTTGACTCTGTATAGAGCCAGTTTCAAAAAGTACGCCGCATGCACACGTCAGCAGTTCGCAATTCCTTGGTGGTGGTGGTGCCATTTGCTGCAGGCGAACTGGCATGCATGCGCCATGCCGATTGCTCTCTGGAGTGTGCTGGTAGGCTTGGTCGAAATTGATTGCTTTTTCACCACAGAGCGGGACTGCTGTTGTTCGTCCAGCGTTCTAAGTTCCTGCTGCTTCTTTTCTACCTTCCTGCAATGGGTGTGTGTCCGGACAGGGTTGGTTGAGCAAACACGCCACCACAATCTATACATTGCACCCCTATATCGGCGCACGAGAGTTGGATAAATGGCCTGAACGATATCTCATTAGCTCTTGGGATACAATGTCCAACGTAGTTGGGCGCAGCTCTCTCTCTCTCTCTCTCTCTCTCTCTCTCTCTCTCTCTCTCTCTCTCTCTCTCTCTCTCTCTCTCTCACCCATGGTCCTCGCAGTTGTGCAGCTTTTCCAGAAAGTCACCTTCGCAAGGCGTCGCCGGTGCAGGAGTTCCCGCCAACACACCTGTATCTCCGCCGGGAATGTTGTAAGACATTTCCACCCTCCTCGCCAACGACACACCGAAGGAGGGAGAGAGGGAGACCTTGTGTACGCGTCGCTATGTGAGCCTCTGATGCTGTACAGCACACAGTAGGCTCAAGATACGCACCGGCGGCGAAGAAAAAAAAAAAACTTGAACGCACGCACATGCATGCGTTTCTTGCTTCAAAACAAAAAAAAAAAACTCCGTCTCCATGACTTTGAACTTTTGGATACCAATATCCAAATGGATTCACAGCCAAAAATAGTTACCTTCTATATTTATCGTAATAATGGCGGCTTTTTCCAGGCCAGCCAGTAGTTTACCTGAGGGGATGTCCCGATGTCCCAACGTCAACGGCGGCGGGACCAGGCGGGGCAGGCGGGTGCTTCATGCGATGGTTGAATGGTTGATGTGACGAGATGTGACGATCTCTGACGCGGGTTTAGTGTGGAGCTAGTCCGACCACTGCTGTGTGCAGGTTGGAGCCGCTTCGCTTCTTCAGTCTGTTTCCTTCCTTATCCTTCCTTTCTCTCTCAGTCGCTCGCTATCGCTCACTCCCAGGCAAGACACTGAGCAAGGTGGAACGCTTGCACTCGCTTGCTACCTGCCTAAAGTCGGAATACTAAGAACCTGGGCAGGTGGTCGGGGTATTCCTGAAAGATACACCCGCCCAGATGGTATCTTAGTCCAAGGGTCCAAATACCATAGCTAAATACCATAACATTGATGTGTCCGCCGTCAAGTACTGTACCCAGATCTGCTCTTATTTTTTATTTCTCGTTTACCGGCTGAGGACTCTTGTCTGTCCCCGGGGTATGGTCGTTACCCTAGGTGTTCCTAAACTTCGAAGTCGATCATCGAGAGACGGCCCATCAAAGTGTTTGAACTCTTCATGATGGATGGGCATGATGATGAGAGATAAATGCACAGCAGGTATTATACAGTCTACATGATGATCTGGAAGCTACGTAGAGCGAGCGACGTGGCTGTCGAGACGAAAAACCTACACCTCAATGGTGCATGGTGCAACTACTTGTGGTGGTTCAGTGGTGACCGGGTTCGCAGAGGACAACCGGGTCAAGCAACACGGCGTACGTACGTACGTTTCGTGAAGTCGAGGAATCAATGCATCGCATCGATGGCCCCGGTGGTCTAGTTGGTATCCTCGAAACCTTCTAGAAGTCAGGTCAGGGGTTCGAATCCCGGCGAAAAATAAGCGAGCGTTTCTTGCAAAGTGAGTTTTTCTCTCGCTTCCGCTTCTGGCCCAGTGGATAGCGCTAGTTCGTGTGTACACAGAGGAAAGAGGGTGCTGAACTCTTCTCGCATTAAAAATCGAAGGCCAAGTACCGCAGGAGGGAAGGGTAGAGAGGGGCTCTTCTTCTGTGTGACCACGGGTTGGAGTAAACGGCACTAGTAGTGCTGTGAGCGCTGATTTGAAGTGAAGACAAAAACCAAAACAAAAACAAAAAAAATCGAATCGAAGGAAAGAAATCGTAACACGACCGAACGAAACGCTACGTATGCATACGGTAGTCAAAGCACCCTACACACGGCTACTGACTCCACATCAAACCAACCAGACGTTCGTCGGTGGATTTTGCTTGACGGGCGCGATCGACTTCATTGGTTGTTCGGTTTCACGCGTCACGAAACTACTGAGTGAAGACTACCTGCATAAAACACGCGGCTCGATCGGCCCGCTGCTGAAACGAATGTCGCGTGCAGCCGGTGGCTGTCTCGAACGAAGCGCATGTTGTCATACTCCGTCTTCTTGTGCGACCGTTCGATTTTGGCTTCACCTACCAACTGCCGGCATCTTGTGTGCGTTCCTTAGACAAAGCTAACGCAAAGACCGGGACGGCTATCTGGCTGTTAACGACGCACATTTCTGTGGAGAGGAAGAAGAGACTTTCATTTGTTCAGTTACGCTGTCACATCGGTATACCGCCGGCGCCTCGACGACCTCATCGTCTCCGTTCGTTATCGCGCAGCAGTTTTGGGTGCCTTGGTCTCCGCCCACGTCGCCACCATTGCGGGGGGGTCCAAGACGATCCACAGCGACATTGGAAAAGGGACAGCCACCACTGCTACGAAGCAAACATTGTGTTCATGGCTGGCTGCGAATCTGCAAGTTAGCGCGCTCTTGAGCACCCAGCGCGATGCATGTCTTGCTTTCGACCACCGCCAACAGAGCCGGAAGCCTGCGCAACCACACCTATCTGCCACACATAGATGCTTTGCTGCCGTGTCGAGCTACTTCGCATCCTGCTCTGGGTCTCGTGGCTCAACAGGCCTGGCAGCAAGCTTTCTTTCTCGGTTCCGGGTAAGTCGTCAAATATCTTGTTTCTTATCATAACCGTAGCTATCGGCACAGCAAAACGCCTCTACAACAGCACTTTTGAGGCGTGGAATTCCAAGCGTTTCAAAAACAGAAGTCAATCACGCCTTTTCCGACAGGAGAGACACACGCAGGCAGCCCACACACCACAAAAAAAAATCTTCGCGCGATGGCTGCTTTTGTGAGTCGAACACCAAATGACGGCATGTGAAGCAATATCGTAGATTCTTCTATGCATACCGCACACAAAGAACTAGGAAGGAAGAAACAAGGTAAACAAACAAACACAGACCGATTTCACCCACCAAACCAAAAAACTCCTCAACAACGAGTCTATGCGAGCTATCAACTAGCTAACCCAGACCTGATGATGTCCAAAACACAAAAAAAGCCGTGGCGAGAGAGTCACTCGTGCGGGGCAATGACCCTATCAAAGCTCCCCGAGACACAAAAAAGGTGAGGTGACAAACTCAGGCGGAGCAAACAAAAAAAACAATCATCAAAGCTCCATTTTGGTGGCGTCAGCGCCCGCATCCTCAGCTGGCGGCTGGTAGTCGAAGTCCTTAGCCGTTCGGCCCTCCTTATCCTTGAGGGAGGCCTCCGCCCCGCTTGTCAACAAAAGGTCGATGATCGACTGAACATTGTTCGGAGATTTCACGTACCGCACGAAAAACGGAAACGGAATCGTGCACGCGCAGGGGTGTGTAGGGTAGGGTAGGGTAGGGGTCGAAAAAGGCGTCCCAAGACGAAGCTCGCAAGACGAAGCTCCCACAGTGAACTGCTGTCCGGTCAACATGGAAGCTTTCTGTAGCGTAGGTGACATGGCGTTAGATATCACACCCCCTGGACCGATCGATGTTCAAAAGCTCGAGTTCTCCACAGCAGAAATAAGAGTGACGGTGCCGACAATGGCGGCGTTGGAGCCGTCTTGTCAAGAGCTCTCCGAAATCGGATGGTGCCGTTCATGTATATAATCCCCTTCGTCGTGGAGAAATCGAGGTTGAAAATCAGTCTAGGGGTGTGTGGTATCTTACCTCATGTCACCTACGTTACAAATCAGGACATAACCGACTTGCGCGGGGGGGGTGGGAGGGGGTCCTACATTAGCGTTACGGTCAGCATCATTTTTGTGTCATACTTTGAAATATTCAAAATACTCTATATATAGATTGCAAAAATCGTTTGCCTGTTGCCTTGGAAAACGACATCGGAATCGATGAAACGCTTCTGCCGAGGTATTGTTTTCCAAAAAAAACTCTGAACGGAAAAAGCGAGACATGAATAAACGCAAGCTGACCATCTTCTTGCGTTTACATAACTCAGAGAGAGAGAGAGAGAGAGAGAGAGAGAGAGAGAGAGAGAGAGAGAGAGAGAGAGAGAGAGAGAGAGAGAGGACCTCGGCTAGTTTCCTCGCCCACCTGCGTGTGCGCCATAGCTTCTCGCATCATGGTAGTGCTCTCGCCCGAAGCGTCGTCGGCATCGTCCAAGTACTCCGCGTACTTGTCCATGAGAGACGCAACCTGCGAAAAACGCGTCGTATAAATCACTTCGGTCAGCCATATTCTCGGCAATAAATGAACAAGCACACAACAACAACAAAAATACGAAAACGCCAAAGTTTTCGTGGAGAACCTTCGCCACCTGCAACCGTTGGAATCCTCTTCTTCTGACCAGTTGTCAACCAACCCCTTGTTCCAGCAGGGAAACAAAAACCTCCGACGCGAGGGCTACAGCAAAACATCCCGTCAAGAATGAAAAAACTCGATACACGTCCCGCCGAAAACAGGCAAGCCACGCATTACGCGCGGTGGCGTCACTGGAAGCAAAAATATTGATCAACAAATCAACGTCATTTTTGTAATAAGGGCCACGGCACGACCCCGCCAGACGTGCCACACACACCCCAACACACGTGGGACATTATAGATCACATACCTGTGCACGACCGTTGTAGGCGAACATGAGGGCGCTGTGGCCATCGCTGTTCTGCTTGTCAAGCGCTGCCCCCGCCTTGACCAAGCTGGTGGCCGCCTCCAGGTGCCCGTTCGACGCCGCCGCCATCAGAGCGTTCGTCCCGTCCTTGCAAAAAACAAAAGAAACAGAAAAACAAAGTAAATTCCCCGACGAGATACAACACGCAATTCGAAGAGGGTCAAACTGGCCAATCTATCACCGGCAGGCGGGAGCTCGGAGTATGCCGGGCGTGTCTTGCTCGCCAACAACAGCGTCAACGAAATGCATGTCGCGTCATGCAACACACCCACGAGCGAATGGAATAGAGACAAATTCGAAAAAAATGCCGAGGAATTGTAGTGGTGGAGTTGGCACGCCGAGCTCCTGCGAAGCTTGCTTCTAGTAGGCAACACAACGGCACGCCATATTTTTCAAATCCGGCCCGGTACGGTAAAATATAGGCAGCACACGCCACGTCGCTTCTTCCTACAAAATCAACCGAAGCCCAACTATTGTAGGATCCTCTCCTTCCCTGAAAATAACGGTTCCCGGAACACGGCGCGCCTCTTTCTCTGCACAGGCCTACCCGCGCGTGCTTCTCGCCCCTCCCGCAGCGTGGACCACAAACCCACAACACCCAACCGCTTACACGCAAGTGCTCATCACGGCTGTACCAAAAAGAGGAATGGTTAGGGTGAGCATATTTCATGGCGTTCCGCGAGCACGGGTAACGTTTGGACGAAGAAAAATCGTTGTCCAATGCTCCCTGAAGGTTCGGTGCACCTAAAAATGTTGCGCAGGCTTGTCATGCCGGAGATGAGACTCAACACCGAAGGAAGGGCAGACACTGCGAGGAGCGACTGCTGCGCCACCAATAACTCTCAACAACACAAGTACGCCAATCACAATATTTTGCCCACCTTGTCTGCTGCGTCGAGGTTGCACTTGGCCCCAACGAGCATGTCCACGATATCAACGTGCCCCTGTGCATAGCGAGCGGTAACAACAGTAACGGGGTTAAGAAATACGAGCTGCAGGTAGTTCGACCCGCGTTGAAAATTGGGAATAACTCCCACCTACCATCAGGACGCGCCGCAACTCAACATTCTGGGAGGGAGTTAAGTCACTTCAAGATCAACAGGATCGAAACGTAAGGACGTGATCACGAGCACAGGTGCGGTCAACAATCGTGTTCTAAAACCTTCGCAGTCTCGAGTTCGGGCTATATCTATGCATGCCACACAGAGGGAATACGAGTGGAGCCTTCAGCAAAACGAGAGGTTCTCAAGTAGGGGCGCCGTGGAACAGGCACCCCGGGCCCGTCGGGGGGGAACCGTAACGCCACAACATCAAAAACGAGAAACCATCACGTGACGGCCTTCGACCACCACGGTGACGTAAAACAATCATCGACCCGAATGTTGCTTGTCGGCACGCCAAGACCCTAGAAGACAAGTGGCATCGTAGGCTTCCGTGTCGCTCGCCTGGATACCGCCGCATCAACAAAAAAATGCAACAATCACTCACCGCAAAAGACTTTCAACACATGCCCTTCGACTGCTGTGGTGTTGTCTCAAAACGGGCATCATAGTCTTCCTGCCACTGCATGCATATTATCTAAAAAAAGCAAGCGCAACCTCGCTACGCTACCGTAATACCAACCTTCATGGCCGCGGCGATGAGCGGTGTAACTCCCTCGTCGCTGGCCGCGTCCTTGTCCACCCCGGCCGAACCCGGCGCCCCGAGCAGCGCCTCCACCACCTTGGGCATCTTGGCGTGCGACGCGTGGACCAAGACCGACGCGCCGCCGGCGTCGCGGTAGGAGGCGGTCGCCCCCTTCGACACCAGCAGCTCGGCGAACTCCTGCAATGATCGATCGATCGATTGATTGGTTGACGGATAGGTACAGTATGTTGTTGTGGTTGGTCTTGGTATTCCTTGAGCGTGGAAAGAGATCGATTTTTTTGTGTTACGGATGTGATGAAGGTGTCGACACTCGATGGAGAAATCCACAGCAACGAAAATGAACGACAACGCGGTGTAGGTACCGCCCGCCCCTTCCCAATTCCCTGCCTAAGGCCCCCCCTCCCGAGCTCGGTCTCTCGGTGGTGTTTTCCTGTCATCAACACACTTAGCCTGAAAAAACAGCAACAACACCACAACAAGGCATTTTCACGTCAATCTTTGGCTTTGGCATCAGCAGAAAATACGGAAGTTGCAAACGTGCAGATTCCTGTTTAACCTTGTCCTTGTATATGGATGTTGTATGGATATGGGCATATGAAAACGAGTTCGGATGTACGGATATCGATATTGGACCCATGGATTTGGATACCTCGTTGCCGAGAGTGACGCTGTCGAAGAGGAGGTTGTGTTCCTTGCCGGCGTCGTCCGTGTAGACATCGTTAGGGTCGGCCCCGCTCTCCACCAGGAAAGACGCCACCTCCTCGAAGTTGCCCTGCAATCATGAAATCATTCAACACATACGAACTTCGTGAGTCAGTCAAACGTGTTCGAACTATTAGACAGATTGCGTAACGCCAATTGTTCTCTGCACCCCTGTGTTTCGTCTGGTTAGACATCACCGCTGCGTCAAGCGTCGCTTGCGTGTACTCCCGGATTCCCTTGGGGGGTGATACGTATATATGTGCGTGATTATGATGAGGGTGGTCACGTCAAACGTCAATGCGTGAGAGAGTGGCTGCCGGAGACGTTACATGCAGTGACGGACCACTACCACAACATGCCAAAACCACACGAGCAATGACAAAAACACAAAACCACCAAGACCAAGACCAAGACCAGCACCTGCACCAATGGCACGGCACCAACAACACCAACCACGACAACGGCGGCGCCAACAGCAACAGCAACAACGACAACGACAACGACAACGACAACGACAACGACAACAACAACTCATCCACCACAACAATAGCAGCAGCAGCACCAACTGGCAACAATACCAACAACAAAACAGCTCTAACACCAAGCAACCCGCAAGAGAGCCCCCCCCCCCCCCGGTTACAAAATCCCCCTGACGGGGTTGAAGAGGGGGGGGAAACCCTCCTCCTCCTTCCCCCCAAAGTCCGCCCCCTTTCCCAACAACAGCTTCACCACCGCCTCCTGGTCCCCCTGTGCCGCCCCCATTCGGGGGGGCACATCGTCCCTGTGGGCATCGGCTCCCGTTGGCTCCCCGCCACCGTCCGCGAACGGCTGGGCGAACTGAACGACGAAAGCCAAAACAGGAAACACAACACCTTTGTGTTTTTGTGTGTGTGTGTGGGGGGGGGGGGGGGGGGGGGGA